CTGCATGATTTGCCCCACATCAAAGTGCATGTCCAGGCACGTGTGCCGAGGCAAAAAGCCCCAACTCAAATTTGCACCGATTCCATTTGAGCTGCTGCAAGCGCGTGTGCTTGCATGTATGGACATGCCCACGGAGGCTACTTCAGCTGATATTAAAGGATTTTCCTATTTAAGGAACAGCAGAACAAGTCAATTTCTCAGTAAGATTCTAAGTAAGAAGAGATATCAGATTCGCCCAAAGAACCTTGTCTGCCTAATTTCTAAGTAGATATTTGGTCTGTCATCCCCCTTATGAACAACATATAGGTAATTCCTTATAAACTGACTGAACTAGGAACCAGATAAAAAAAACTCAATCAACAAGTACTGGACTCAGAATATGATAAAATTAACAGGAAGCTATCATTTCATCAAAATGAGATGGTTTTACAAAAAACTGGCCCAGAAGAGCATGGTTGCAATGCTATCAAATCAAGTTCCAGAAATACAGGAGTTCAAGGTGTTCCTTCTCTCAAGGCCTCCTTCTTTAACAGCAAACGTGGCCGAAGTTCACAAGATTTGCCTTTGCAAGAGCTCTTGAAAAAACACTGATGAAAGAAGCCCAGAAAAAATGCCAAAAGCAGACAGATCATCGGTCCCAGCTGCCTGACTGGAAGGATCACAACAGAATTACGCTTGCTGCACATGCAATTAAAAGTATTTTCCAGATCTCAAGATAAATCACAGAAGCTTTTAATTGTGAACAAAAGAAGTGAATCCACCTTCTTCATGTGGTCAGGTTCAATCACTTGATAAGAAAATGTTATATTCAGAGATCAGACATCATCATCCAATTGCTGGACACCATCCAAGACACTGCTCAAGGCAAGGTCTAGGATACAAAAAATGAACACTGAAATGGCATCCATTGTACATATCAACATACCTTTTCAGAGACTTCCTCGCTTTCTCCATTGACTAGTTAAGGAAACCCCTGTTCTATATATTCCATGCAACATATCACCACACTAACGAGGATCTGTTTCACACTGCGTCAATTGGAAGAGACTAAGCTGTTGGTCAAAATCGGAGTATTTTTGTTGGAGTATACTTTTCCATCATTACCATTTATATCGTCTCTCCCCTGATACCAGGTGTTTCTTGAGAAATGGTCAGAATTTAAAGAAGAGGGCCAGTTTAATTTACTATCAGACTGCTACTTTTACAATAATTATTTCCTTGAGGTTATGTCAACTTCTAGAAAAAATAAGAAACCAGTGGCTATAATCATAAGGCACTGACAGAGGGTGGGTGGGTGGGTAGGTGCGTGCATGCGTGCATGCTTTGGAGAGGAGAGAGGAAGCAGCAGTGCGTTAGTTCAACTGGGCTCTGCAGCATCTGTATAAATCAGCACTTCAGCAGGGCTTTCTGGTGTTTTTATCTAGAGCTGATTCAATCAGCTATCAGATAAAAGCACCAAAAAAGACCCACCAAAGCACACAATCTATACAGGTGTTGGTAATAAACACCAGGTCCAATTACTTCTGGGCATGTGCTGGGCTCAGTGCAGGAGCACACCAAGTTTTTTGGGGCTTCCCCCCCACCCCATGTCTGCAAGCACCCATAATTTCTAGCATTAGATTTAGTTTCATAATTCTTGCAATATTTTCTGAATGCCTGTTGATCAGTCACATAATGGTATGGCTTCTACACAATTGTTTTACACAACTGTTTTATTCAACAAGAAATTTGGTTCTTCTAAGCTTCGTTCAAGAAAGCTTATTTATAGGCTTTGGGTTTTCTGAGATAATTAACCTGTGCAGAAGTGCTAACTGACCTACCTTTCACCCAAAACAAATATCAATGCTTAGTGGGCAAAAATATAGATGATCCAATTTCTTTCATCTTTCAACAAAACATGGGAGGGGGCCTAGTACAAAGCTGCAGTGCCTTGATGCAGAACAATTGCCGGATGTGAGCAAGACTTTCAATCCACCTCTCAGAAGGGGTGAAGGCAGAGTGCTCGTACTAGAGGACAGGAGTTTACAGCTTTTCAGCTGTAGGAAGCATGGGCCACTGCCCTGCTTTTTCCTGACAAACCAATGGAATCCAATTCACTTTCTTCCATGGTGTGACAGAAGCTTAAGACGCTTTAATTTCTGGATTAAAAATGAGAGAAAAAAAATTGAGCTCAAATACTGCTGTGCTAGTGTTTGGGCCCAAGCCTCTACCAACTTTCCTCTCCTTCCTCTTTCAAACACATACTTGTTCTCATACTCTGCAAACTTCACTTTTCACATCCAGAAGGACAGGAGGGGGGGAAAAAGACTAAAGACAGAGAGACAGAGCTCTGGACCTGTATCATTCAGAATGCAACAGCACCAGCACAACCACCTGGTTGTAAGTCAGGAGAAAATTAAACAAGTCCAACAAGTAAAGAGAGCTGTTTTTGTGATAGTACAATCCAAAACTTACTGAGGTATGGGACCAATAGGAGTAGTCAAAGCTGAAGGACTTTGGCGCTTCCTTGGGATTCTTTGGGTTGACAATACCTAGAAGAAACAAAATTCAAGCTCTTAGTTATTAGTGGTATTAGCACCATAAAACAAATATACTTTTCCTAGTCTTTCAAACGGTATTACGACATCTGATCCCAGACACACTCAAAGTCCTGTGGAAGTCAGAGGATTCACAAGTTACACTGAAGGACTACCATGGCCCAAATAGGTGTTTTTATCACAACTTCACGCTGCAGTATTCTTCCAGGGACTCCATGAACCAGATCACGGAAAGGTAAGGGCATAGGAGAAATGCAGCTAATAAACCAGTTAATAATCAGTTAATCAATTCTTAGTCATTGATAATCAATTAATAACCAATTAACCATCTTAATAATCAGAGAGAGAAAAAGCCTCAGGCATGTCATCTAGTCCCTTGCCTTTTGGCTAGTGAAGATTTCTAAAAGCACAGTGAGGTGTGCACAAGTAAGCATGTGCGTGCAAGCTTGAGGCACTTCAGTAATGAAAAGCCCAAGAGCCACTGGGGATTTCACAGCAGGACAACACAAGCCTATTTTGAAATGCATGCTACAGTGCAAAGATAAAGACCTATGGCCTACAGATTTTTATTTCAGAGGCTCATGTTTCTTTAGGGCATTGTGGGAGGCAATGAAAAGAGCTGGAGGAGGATCTACAAACATTTCAGAGATTGTGTTGTATGACATACAACATTCTTCTACACGTAAAATACGTACAGAGCCTACATGGAGATTTTAATAGGACTGACATTAAATGAACCAGCCAAACTACTTGCAAATCTTACCTTCAGCATGTGGCTACGAGGTTCAGTCCTACAGTAACCCAGATCAGACCCTGTTTTATTCCTTTGGCAATCCCTCAGTGCAATTTTAATTGATCCTACTATACAGATCACACAAAGCAAGCCAGCTTCAGCGGTTAGTTCACTTGTTTCTGGAAAGGTCCAATGCAGAACTGAACATGACCTCCAACAGCCTTTACAGCTTGATGCACTGCCTCCTACATTCAAATCTCAAATGCATCAAAAATAAGGACAGTAAGGTACTGCAATAATTTCAGAAATTGATTCTTTCAACTATTCTGCCCACATTAGTGATAAATATATACAAACACATATATGCTCTAAACTTCCATGCCTTTTACCTCTCCTACACAGATCCCAAACCA